AATGTAGTCAGTTTCTTGAGTCTCATTCTCTTCATTGTATTTAGCAGGCAAATGCCCAACCTTGGTTAAATTCAACTGTCCAACTTATTGCTTGCCACTGAATAATTGAACAAGAGTGAAAAAACACAGTCATAACAACTGGTCTCTCTTTATATTTTCATACATAAACTTCAAGACTCCTGACACTGTCATGCAACCCTATAACATTTTCCTAGTCAATTTATTTTATGAGGTAAAAACTATTTCACACATTTTTGAGCCTAAATCAACCCTTTCTCCCACTCTAGGCCAATAAATTCATGTCTTTTTTCCATTGTGACAACAGAAGCAACCAAAAGAGAACTTACTATTCTTTCACTGCTTACTTTTCCAATCATGTATTGTTACATTAGATAAACAGTGCACCCTCCTATTAATCCTTCCAGCTGGGCAATGAATCCTATCTCTTCTTGTGTACTCAAAGATTTTGCTCTGCAAATATCCCCTCTCTTGCATCAATTTTTCCCTTTATCCACAGTCATTCTTATTGGTCTACAAATGTTCTAGAATGTCCAATTTTTAAAAACATAATAAAATAAGAATAACCAACTAACCACCTCTTTATCTTTTACACCTCTTTAGCTATTGCCCTATTTCTGAGTTAGTTTAGCAAAACTCATAAAATTATTCTAAGTTTCACTTCCTTGCCTCCTCCTTTCTCTGAAACTAGTTTTATCAAAAGCAGCTATGGGTTCCATGTACCCAAACATTCCTCTTAAGTACTAGCATAGGTAGAGTTGATAGCTCCCACCTTGTAACACTTTATTTGCTTGTCTTCCAAGATATAATTCTCCCAATTTTCCTCTTTATTAATTGTACTTTAGTATCCTCTTTGTGATCTCTAAATCCATTAGCTCTAGTGTTCCAGGTTCAAGTCTTGGATTCTTTTCTATTTACTCTCCCCATTTGAATTAACCAAACCTTTTAAATTAATATATAGAATTAAGTGTATATATCAATGTTTTCTAATTTTTTCTCTAGGTCTCTAGGTCTAACTACTCACTTGGATAAACTTCTTTTTGCCAAATGGACAGCTCTTCTGGATATCTAACAGGCATCCCAAATTTACATGTTTAAACCAGATCCACCCAAATCTCTTTTTCTAGAGTTCCCCTATTACAATAAATGGTCAAACTTTTTTTTAAATATTTATTTTTTTAGTTCCAGGTGGACATAATATCTTTATTTTGTTTCCATGTGGTGCTGAGAATCGAACCCAGTGCCTCACCCATGCCAGGCGAGCGCACTACCACTTGAGCCACATCTCCAGCCCAATGGTCAAACTTTTTAACCACCTGTTCAAGCAAAAAAAACCTTGAAATCATGCTTGGTGCTTTTACATCTCTCATACACTATTATCCAAACTATTACCTCATCTGTTGGTTCTACCTTCAAAACATCCCAAATCCAGCATTTCTCACCACTTCCACACCTAACTTCATCAGGTCACCAATATTTCTCATCTAGATTATCACAAACCCCTAAATTAGTCTCTGTTCTCCAATCTTTGCTAGCTACAGAAAGGAGATAGCTTTCTCTCAGTTGCCAAACTGGTCCTTTTTATTATTATTATTATTATTTTTTTTTGGTACCAGAGATTGAACCCAAGGGTGCTTAACCACTGAGTCACACCTCCAGACCTTTTCATTTTGAGACAGGGTATCACTAGGTTGCTTCCAGCCTCACTAAGTTGCTGAGGCTGGCTTCAAACCTGCAATCCTCCTGCCTCAGCTGCTGGGATTACAGGTGTGCACCACTACACCTGGCTTAGAATCTCCTGTTTTAGGAAAATTTAGTCCCTTTTAACATAAATAAGACCATGTTCTTTCCCTACTCAATATCTTCCAATAGATTTCTACTTAAGAATAGAATCCAAGATCTCATAGAATTCAGTCCTTTCTATTGTTGTGACTGAATTTTCTACCATTTTCCCCCGCACTTTGCTCTTCTTGGTAAGAAAACCAAACATGTTCATACCTCAGGGACTTTGCCCTTAAATATTAAGATCAAATGTATGTTCTTACTCCATATTCTTAACAATTCACTCTTCTTGAATGAATATTTAAAAGACAACTGCTTGCTGTGTGAAAAGGAGAGAACTTCAAGAATTAGAGCAGAAAAACAACTTAGAAGACTAGTATTTAACAGTTCAAGGGAAAAATAATGGTGGCTTGTACCTGGAAAGTATTGGCAATGGAATGAAGAGGACAAATTCTGGGCACAATTTAAAAGGGTAGCTAAGAATGGCTGATGAATTGGAAATAAAGTGAGATACAACAATCAATCAAAGACAGCCCATAGACTTTGGCATGAGCAAATGTATGGATGATGATATAATTTACTAAATTGGTATATTTAAGTAGTAGCAGACTTGACAATGTGGGAGGAATGGGGATACAAGGAATCAAGAGTTCTATTTGAACATACTAAGTTTGAGATGCCTAGATGTTGAGAGCCACAGCCAAAGGGGCCCCAGCAAACTTCCAGCTGCCGGCTGATGATTGGCTCACAGCGGCCCCAGCAACATCTAGCTGATTGGCTCCTCTGCGGTGATGCTCATTGGACTGTTTCCCTGCCCTTTCAGACCACGGAGCTGCTCATTGGGGGACTTTTTTGGCTCCGCCCACATGACCCAGCCAATCGGCCTCAAGAGCTGGAGGATTGTGGGAGGTGGGGAGAAGCTTGTGTGGGAGAGAGAGGCTTGTGGAAAGCCAGTGGTGGCAGTTGAGGCTCTGAGGGTTTTTCCTGAGAGGCTGTTTTGTTTGGCCGTGTGTGGTTCTAAAAATAAAGTTAGTTTCTTTTGACAAGTGGCTCCTGATTGTGCCCAGCCAGACTGCTGCACCTAGTAAATACCCAAACAGCTAGACATATACCTAAAGCTTAAGAATGAGGTCAACGTTAAATACATAAATTTGGGACTCATCAGTACTTAAATTCATGAAACGGAATGAGATCACCCAAGAGAGAAAACAGAAAAGAGGCTGAGTGTTAGGGCACAACAGCATATAGAAATCAGACAAAGGTAGATCCAGCAAAGACTAAGAAATGGCAAGTAAAAAGGGAGAAAAACCATAAGATTATGATGTCATAGAAAGCAAAAGGGAATTTTTTTTTCTTTTAAGAATAACTGAATCAAGGGCTGGGGCTGTAGCTTAGTGGTAGAGTGCTTGCCTTGCATGTGTGAAACACTGGGTTTGATCCTCAGCACCACATAAAAATATATTAAAAAAAGAATAATTGAATCAAATCTGCTGAGAAGTTAATGAGAATTTGAAACTGACCATTCTATCTGGCAACACAGAGATTCCTGGTGACCTTACAAAGGCAATTTTAGTAAAAGAAGAAGAAAAAAACCCGAGTGGAATAGACAGAGGGGGAAATGGGAGGCAATGAAGTATACATACAACCCTTGTGAATTCTGCTACAAACTGAAAGAAAACAAAGATAATAGCTAGAGGATGTTTTGGAGTACAGAGAGAATTTTTTTATCTGAACACTGGAGCATATTTACAAGCTAATGTGAATGATCCTATAAGGAGAAACTACTAATACAGAAAGAGAAGGAACTAAAGAGCAAAATTTTTTTAGTTGATAAGAGGGATGGATGGGCTCCAGCCTCCAAAAAGAGTTGGTTCATTTTTAGAAAAAATGAAAATCAATTTACCCTCACTACAGGAGAGGAAACTATATAGGAATGTGTACATGGTAGTTTCATAAATTTCATGATTGGAAAAATGAGAGAATGTATCTGATTCCTCCTATTTCTCAATAAAATACAAGGCAAGATCATTAGTTGAGGAAAGTACATTGTGGATTTAACAAGAGAGGTAGAAACAGTCATTTCAGAAAAATAGTTATTTGTTACTCAGTAAAGGTACCAAATAATAATATAATATATGAAAATTCATAAATACCTTCAAAATTATAGCTATCTTCAGTTACACAGAAATGGACACAATTTAAATGACCAGTAGGGGGTTGGTTAAACTACAGGATATAAACTCAATGGAAAATTACTTAGTAACTTAAAATAATGAAACAGAAATATGTGTGTTTGTGTGTGTGTGTGTGTGTGTATGTGTGTATTAACAGATCCACAGTATGTCACTAAATAACTTTTACACTATAAAATAAAAATCTACTGATGTGTTTAAAGATAAATATACCAAGTGTACTTATAAAATCACACGGGCATGGTTTTATAAAGACAGAAAAACGCCTGAAAGAAAATACAATGAACTCTTAACCTAGTGGGACTCAGGGCAGGGATCAGTGAGAGAAGCACACAACTCCACAAAACATATATATATATATATATATTTGTTTCATAGATAGGCCAAATCCTATGTCCTTTCCACATACTAATAGTATAAACACCAAAATTCAAACAAGGATTCATATGCAAATGGTCATCTTGGAATATTTTAATGAAAAAACTAAATGTAGTCTAAATGTAAAAAAAAATGCAACTACTAAAAATGTTCATAAAACAAAGACTAAAAAGAAGCAATCATATAACATAAGCCCATATTAAGAATTTTAAATATATTTATTTTTTCAGTTGTACTTGAACACAATACCTTTTTTTTATTTATTTGTTTTTATGTGATGCTGAGGATCACACCAGGGCCTTGCACATGCTAGGCAAGCACTCTATCACTGAGCCACAACTCCAGTCCATGACATAGGACTTTTATGAATAATGTGTAGTGGGGAAAAAAATTTAAAACGCTGAACACAAAATTAGATACAATATGACCTCAGTTACGTAAAACAATATGTAAAGTAAGAGAAAAACACATAAAAATATCAACAATGGTTATCACTGGGTGCTAAGACTGTGTGTGTAGGTGACTTTCATTTCTATACTTTACCACTGCCAATTTCTCTACAATAAGCCATTATCATTTTCATAATTACAAAAATTTTATTTTAAAATGAAGTTTTACTAGCACCATTACCTTGGGATCATGAACAAATGTATTTCCTTTGGTTCCAGGAGGGAAATCTCCGGTACAAATATACTTTAGACATTCAATGATGGTCTAAAGAAATAGAAAATTATACTAGTTATAAGAGAACTGCTTAAGTTTACCATAAATATTAATTCATTACTAAAATATTTCTCATGGAGATTATAAGAATGTGATTGGGAAAAATTTGACAATATAAATTCATAATAAAGACAAGATTAAGAGTTTAAAGAATAATTGCTGTAAGCTCATAGAAAAAGCTATATAATTTAAAAGGCATCCTAAAATAAAGAATTCGTGATTTAGAAGAAAAATATTTCCAAAACAACTGTTAACAATTACACACAGATTCCTATATGCAAGTAGTGAATTCTCCCATTCACCCTAGGCCATAGAAACTATTTTTACACCATATTATGAATAAAAAAACTAAGGCAAAACTAAGACTTAAAACTAGACCTAACAGTGAAGTTAGGTCACTTGCCAGCAGTCACACAAGTAATAAATGATGAGGCAAAAAAATCTGTATTCAGGTGGTCAGTGCTCAAAAACACTTTATTAGTCTTCCCTCCAGTAGTGCACTTAGTACAATGCTGAGAAAATAATAGATATACAATATATAACATTTTTACATAAATAAAAGTAGACAACAGTCTAGCATTCAACTCTCAACCTTCCCTTTCTACATGCTTTTCACAAATTCTTCCCTTAGACTCTGCTTATTCCTATACTGATAATGTTTTGCTTTTCTCAAGCTATTATTTCTGGACCAGAACACCTCTTGGTTACATTTTTCACTCAAATTTGTAATATTACCTGCGCTTTTAACAATAGCAGTAATCAAGCTCTGCTCCAACTTTAATTGGGCAAAAGTAAAAAAAAAACTAAGTAACAACCAAATACAGTTCTCCAATTGAACCTAAATCCTCACTACATCAGTTTCATTTTAAAGTCATTTCGTTTTCCATTTATTAGGAACAGTGGGCATCTTTACCAAGTGTTTATTTATCATACTTCATAACTTTTTAAGGAATTCCTGTATGGGCCAACTACTGGAAATGAATATTATGCTTCAAAAGCAAGGGGGCAGGGGTAAATAACAGCAGCATGAGCCAAAGGTCTTCATGTAGGACCGTGACCGAGTTCAGGTCTCTGGGATTCTCAACGACACCTGTCCACGGAGCTGTCCCAGACACCCAAACTGCCTGGGACTGGGATGACGCAAAAGGCCACGCCCCGATTCACTTTCTAGGCCTCCAGAAGCACAGTAGTAAGTACGCCTCTCCTTTCCCTAATCAGAGTTCAGAACTCCCCCAGGGATTTTATTTTCTGGATTCGTAACATGGGGCGAGTAAACGGAAGGCGGCTACTCAGGACTTACCGTCTTCCCTGCCCCATTGGGTCCAACCAAAATTGTGAGGGGGCTGAAGAAAGTGATAATTTGCTTATCTTTGTCCTCTATTCCAAAACTCCGCACGCCCAGAATGCTCATCTTTTCGATCCGGGACATTTTTGCAAACGTCTCGTGTCTCGACACCAAAGGGCCTGGAGCCCACCGAGGTTTAACAGTGAGGCTGCAGCAGGGCGAATGTGGGACGAGAAAGGCACAGGAAGGCCAAAAGTTCCGAGGGCGAGCAGCGAGAGGGGGCAGGGGCTCAGGCTGGAGCCCTTTCTTCCACACCCGCTTCCTTTCCGGCTGGAGGGCGAGAGGGAAGGGGACCCGCCCGAAGACAAAAGCAAAGGCCGAGCCACCCTACAACCGCGGGAACTCAGATTCCCGCTACAGCGGCCCCACAGGTCACGTGGGCCCGAGCGCCTCTACGTCACACGCCGCATGCCCGGTGCACGCCGGGAAGCGAGGCGTACGGCGCGCGTAGTGCCTGCTTCCGGGTACCGTCTGCGTTTTGACCAGATACTGTTGCGTGTTGAGGCGGATTATAACTTCTTGCTGGTGCCGGGCAGCACAAAAGGAAGACAGTGGCTTGTGATGGGCCGCGCTGCGTTTCTCAGAGCGTTATCCCCGGGACTCTTGGAATGGGGTGGAATCAATCGTGTTCCAGAAACGTCAAAACTCACTCTCATTCCTTGATGTCCAGGGGTTTCCGTTGATCACAAGAGTGTGAATACGTCATTGCAATGGAATGTGTGCAATGGTTAAAAGAAACTCAATTTTAATTTCCAATTGACTGTGAATATTGCTAGTTATAACTCACATAAATGCCCTTTGAGGTCTACAGTAATTTTTATGAGTGTAAAGGGGCTGTTAAGACAAATCCTGAGAACTACTGTTGTAGGTCTCTTTAATTAAAGAGTTGTGCAAATATGTAGAATGTAAAGGAAATCTAGTCCTAACAGCACTTCCACAGGAAAGAAATACCTTTTCCCCCCATTGGTACTAAGGGTTGGTAGTTAGGGCCTCGCTAAATTGCTGAGGCTGGCTTTGAACTTGGGATCCTCCTCTGAACATGGATCCTCCTAAGCCAGTGGGGTTACAGGCATGCACCACTGCACCTAACAGGGATAGATAGCTTTAAAATAAGGGAAGGAGAAATCACCTTCCGAAATGGAGAATATTGCTTTCTTGGAAACAAACTTAATGGAAGGATACAACATGTAATCACCTATAGGTAAATCTTTGAAAATAAATTTCTGGAAGATATTAAAATTAAAAACTTTAATGCGATGGTATAATTTGCTCCTGAGATGGAAAAATGTAGGAAATGCTGTCCAATCACACAATCCAAAGAAAATAATATACAGAACCTAATACGTAAACCAAAAAATTTAATGTGTTTAGGAAAACAGATGGGGAAGGCCAATGAGAAGTAGTCTCTTGCACTACTGTGGGAGGCCAACCTTACAGGTGACTGAGTTACACTCCCCAGCTGGGTGCTGAGGCACTCAGTCACAGAAATGGGTGTGTCTTGCTACAGCCCCAAGGGTGAAGCTATGCTCACCTGTTCCTTTGTAATATAACCCCTTGCCCTATTTAGGATAGAATCATCCATGGAAGTGCCTTGTGTGTGTCCCCTCCTCTTACTGTGCCCTTGGGTGTGGCCTACCCAGGTGTTAGTCAACCTGCTGACAGTGGACATCATGAAGATACTCAGCCCCCTGAAACTTGACCCGTTGCCTCATTTGAATAGCTTCTCCTCAATAAAAGGGGTCAGCACGTGCTCTCTCTCTCTTTCTGTGGACCCTTAAGGTCAGAGGAGCGGTCACAGCAACCCCAAAGAAAAAGGTATTTGTGTCTCTTGCATGGTTATTACATGCAGCCCAGTTAGCCCAGTTTAACTAGAGTGACCCCTGAGCCTTTTAGTCGCGAGAACAGAAACCCAGCAATTGGCGTCCAACGTGGGCCGAAAGATCTGCGTCTTTAAGCCTCCGGGACAAAAGCGACAAATGCTGGCTCCTAAGGGACTTCTAAATATTAAAGAAAGTTAGTGAAGTTGAAAGTTCTCCCCAGAAGTTAAGCATGTTTAGGATTGCAGAGTATTGTGGGCAGAATTGTAGAAAGTAAGTGAATTAGACAAAAGGAAAATCTGTGACGTTAAAATTTTTAATACTGGGGTATAATTGTAGAGACTCTAAAGAAATATAGTTATTAAGATGACTGATGGGCTATGTTGTTGAGTTGAGTCCTCTCCATGGAAAGCGCGCTTTTGTATATTTTTAAAAATTGTTTTTATAAAAGATTTTTTGAGGGCTAGGATTGTTGCTCAGCGGTAGAGTGCTTGCCTAGCATGGGCGGAACCTGAGTTCGATCCTCAGCATCACATTAAAAAAAAAAAAAAAAAAAGCTTTAAAAAAAAAAAGAGATTTTTTGGCCTTTATGTTCTAGAAGTTTGCACTAGGAGAGTGAGAAAAAGGGAGAGAAAATGTGATGTTTATCTGGAGAGAAATGTTTCAATTTTCTATTGTTTTTGTCAATACTCAGAAAGTATGTACAGACCTTTTTAGTACATGATTGTCCTATGAATCAGAATGGCTGTAACTCAGCCACTGGGGACAAGAGACTTTAGCCGCTGCTGCTCGCTATGGGGTCCTAGCCCCTGCGGCCAGCAGTGCTTTTAACCCTTGAATTACTTGACCTAAATGCCAAACACAGACTAACTTAAAATCTGATGGTAATGCTAGCGTTTGCTGCTAAAAAACCTTTGGAGCACCCACGTGCCACAGAAAAAAGTGCAGGATGTACACGAGCTGCAACCGCAGGTCGCAGAGACAGAACAAGCTGCTGCCGCAGTAGGATCTTGGCCAGGCGGGGGAAAATAAAATGCAATCAGCTAGGAAAACTTGGGAAACCTTTGCCCCGACAATGGACAGCGGACTCCATGTTGTTTGCATCACCATGGTAACCATGGGGTGCCTGGCCAGAAGAGCCGGCTTCCTGGTCCCACCTCCCACACTTTCGCGGGCTTCCGATTGGTTCTTCCACAGTCACTCAGACAGGACTTCTAGTCCCGCCTTCCAGCCACTAACCTGTACTACTGTGTTTCAGATTTCTACCGGAGCTGTTCAGAGCCTGTATTTTTAAGAATGCCTACCTGTAAATGCTAACGAAAGATATCTTTTTCAGACAAAATTTAATTCCATAGGTTTCTATGTTGCAGTCCTAAATTTAAGTTAGTTCTGAGTTAAATAACCTGACTTTTCTTTATAGTTGTGTTACTAAATAATGTTCTATTGATGAGAGATATCAAACATGCTTCTTTATATTTTACTTTTAATTTTGGAGGTTATGAGGATTTATTTGCTCGCCACAGGAACAAAGCCAGCAATGTTCCTGTGATGACCAAAAAATCCTTATTCTCATTCCTAACTATAAAAGCACACTACCAAGTAAGAGAACATGAACACATCATTTATTACAAGAGATTTAAAATTATCAATGCAACAAAATGGACTGAAATTATATATTTATGTCTTAGTTGACAGACCAGTGTAATAAAACAATGGGAAAGGTTAAAGACCCTTTATCCCCAGTTTTTAAAGATGTGGTAAAATACATAAAAAAAAAAAATTTAAATCTTGACCATTTTAAGAATACAGCTCAGTGACATTAAATATATTCACATCATAGTGCCACCATCATCACCTTCTGTCTTTCCATTTTGCAGAACTGAAACTGTATAGCCATTGAACAGTAACACCATTTACCAACTCCTGGAAACCACCATTCTATTATCTGCCTCTATGATTTTTGACTATTTTTTAATAATCTTGTTGAAGTTGAATTACAATATTTGTCTTTTTGTGACTGGCTGATTTCACTGAGCATAATGACCTCAAAATTCATCTATGGTGTAGCAATTGTTAGAATTTAAATCCTTTTTTTTAAGGCTAAGATTCCATTTTGTGTATACATCACATTTTGTTTATCCATTCATCTATCTATGGCATTTGGGTTGCTTCCATGTTTCTGGGTATTGTAAATAATGCTGTTGTGAATATGGGCGTACATATATCTATCCCTTTGAGACCATGCTTTCATTTCTTTTAGGTATATACCCAAAAAAAATGGATTTCTAGGTTATATGGCAATTCTTTTTTTTTAATTTTTTGAGGGACTGCCATGTTTTTTCTCACAGCACCTGTACCTTTTTACATTCCAGTGTACAAAGGTTTCAATTTATCAACATCCTCACCAACACTTGTTATTTCTGTAGTCATCCTAGTGAGTGTGAGGTGGTATCTCATTTATAGTTTTAATATGCATTTCAATAAAGTAAATGATGCTTATTGTCCATTCGTATATCTTCTTTTGGAGAAAAAGCTATTCAAGTAAGTTTGAAAGTCAAGTTTATTGAACCATAATTTCATACCATAAATTCACCATTTTCCAGAATACAGTTCCATGAGTTTTGACAAATATAAAGATTCATTCCCCACCAAGACCACTAAGAAAAAATTTTGTGGATTTCAGAATATCAATAGAAAGAAAAAAAAGCAAGTCTATACCATATTTTACTTATTACTGTAAGTTCCAGATAGATGAAGATCCAGATACTCTAAAGGAATAAAAGGTCAGAAATGTAATTACTTCTACTTTAAAGGAGAATTTTGTGACTCAAAGTAACAAGAAATTAGTAATGACTTAATTGCATGTCTCTAATCTCAGTATAAAGTCCCCAGCATTACTCCTTATGCTGTTTTTTTTTTTTTAAAGCAAAAGTTGAGAGGGGGTTTAAGAGAAAGAAGCTTAACTTGAATCAAATCTAATCACACCTTTAGATTTAGCTTCCAGTTAACAGGAATTATAAGGATTAAATTAACAACACTGTAAAGACGAAAAGGTAACTCCAGAAGATGGAACATGTTATAAGATATTGGCTCAGGCTCTCAGGAGATTAGTGTCATTAAAGCAAGGACTGTTGTGGACTTTAAAGAAATTGTTTGAAATTAAACAGATTTGAGGTACACATCACCTAGATGTATCACATGCTCTTGGTTTGCACGTAGACATGAGGAATATTTGGGGGTCATGTTAGGAAATTTGAATGTAGACTGGAAACTAGATGATAAAAAGAAGAATCGTTAATTTTATTATATTAGATGTGACATTTAAGAAAACTTTCTTGGGCTGGGTTGTAGCTCTGGTAGAGCACTTGCCTGGCATGTGTAAGGCACTGGGTTTGATTCTTGGCACCACATATAAATAAATTAAATAAAGGTCCATCACCAACTTTAAACAAAAACTTTTTTGCCGTGTAAGAAAACTATATTTTTGAGATGCATATGGAAGTATTAGTGATGGTGTCATACTGTCCACTG